AAATGCAGGTTTAAATAGTCTTCAAAGTATTGTTTTAAGAATTGGAAGCATTGAGTTACCTCAGCTCACCTGGCCTCAGATACCTGGGCTTGGGAAGGAAAAAAAAAATCAAGCTGGAGGACCCACACCTGGATGAATTCCAGGAATTCATGCTGGAGTGCCTGTACGTGAAAGTCAAGCTTCATATGACCCTTCCTTGCTCCTCTTCCCTCAACAATCTAACAGTTAATTATCTATACTCGCACATAAACATCGTTCCATTAGACGAAATACCATCGGGTATACTCAGCATTGACATGATTCTAACCCTACCCCTGCAGGGAATCAATACCTTTAGGAGAGGTGGGTATTCAGCTAAGTCGCTTATGTTAAATGCAAGATTCTGTAGCTAGCTCTCCCATCTCAAATTCTCTTGTCCTCTTTTGCTCAAACTTTAATATTGTTGGCACTATCACAATTGAACTAGTTAATGAAGCTCCAGTTACAAAAACTATTAAATACAGTCGCACCTTGCTGATTGAGTTAAAGAATAGCGATGATCAACTGGAAACCCAAAAGGCCAACGAGTTACCTTGTGCTCCATCACTTTCTTCTATAGGCCCATTGAAGACCACTCTGTAAAATTAGACATCTAATTTCCTGCATAATGTTACGTCTAGTACTATCACTAGGCCAGCAACCATTAGGTATTGTGCAAGCCAGAGCAACAAATGTCCAAAGATTTTAAGAACCAGAACAGATCATTCAATCTCTCAAGTCTGATTCTCCATATAATAGATTGTGACAAATTTGTACCATTTACTTACCTTTGTTCAAAATTTCTTGACGAAACTGAGTGTAGTGAAAGTCACAATAGGCTGCTCTCTCATTAGATACCAACAACTGAGTTTAACCTGAGGGTCAACAACAACTCAAGCGAGGCTGAAAAGGCTGTCCCTTCATGGTAACCTCAACCAGTACAGGAACTGAAACCATGCTGCTAACAGCACTCTCAGCCAAGTTTCACACAAACCAGCCTCCCAGCCAACCGAACCCTTAACACCACCTAACAAAACATTCGATTGCGCATTTAAAACCTGAACTGAACCAGCATTCACAGCCTTTTGGGGAGTGATTTTCCACTCCCTTTGTGTGAAAACATGCTTCCAGATTTCACTCCAAAATGCCTTTAATTTTAAGATTGTGTTTCCTTTTTCTTTATTCTCCCAGCAGAAAAATTGGTGTCTCTTTATCTACCCCATCAAATCCCTGTATCATTTAAACACCTCATATAGATCACTCTTTAAATCATGTTTAATAAACCTGTTATAAAACAAATACTGCAGATGCTGCAAATCTGAGATGAAAGCAATGTGCCAAAGAAACTCAGCAGGTCTGGCAGCATCTGTGGAGAAAGAAACAGGGTTAACGTTAACATTCAACTCCATGTTTTGAAGAGGAGTTATTCTGGACTTCAAATGTTGACTCTATTTCTCTCTCCACAGATGCTGCCAGATCTTCTGCATTTCCCTAGCACTTGCTGTTTTAATGTAACCTGTTCTAACTTATCCTTTTAAGCTTCATTATTCGTTCTCAAATTCATGCTTGAAGGGAGTAAAGAACGATCTAAGTTTGAAAATTACATGGAATAAAGTTCATATTTCATTCATGCAAACTAAAATTCTCCCTATGATTTAAAGTTCTTAATTAGTCCTTCTCCATTGACATGAAGCTGCTCCTGTTCACTTACGTTTAGATGAAATCTAGATCTCCACATCCAACAGCAAGCACAAGTGCTGCAAATGGGGAGGCAACAGCCTAGTGGTACTATCACTGGACTATTAATCCAGATACCCGGGTAATGTTCTGCGGAGCCAGGTTCAAATCCTGCCATGGCAGATAGTGAAATGTGAATTCAATAAAAATCTTAAATTAAGAGTCTAATTATGACTGTGAATTCATTGCCGATTGTCATGAAAAGCCCATCTAGTTCACTAATGTCCTTTAAAGAAGGAAACTGCCATCCTTACCTGATCTGGCCTACATGTGACTCCAGACCCAGGGTGATGTGGTTGACTCTTAACTACCCTCTGGGCAATTAGGGCTGGGCAATAATTGATTGCCTAGCTGGCGATGCCTTCATCCCATGAACGAATTTTTAAAAATGGTAAAATCTATAAAAAGTTGACACTTTCCACCATTACTGCAAAACCAGAGGTTAGATTATTTTCAATTGAGTGCATAACAGTGGAAAAATGAAAATATCAAATTATATCAGATTATGTCAAGATCTTATTTCAGTTTCTAAATCACAATTAATTTCCTGATAATTGAAAGTTTAACAAACTTTATTCATATTCGAGGGATTTCATTTCAATTGATCACATCTGTTTTAAAATCAATTGCATCCTATTTCATTGTCTAAATTTGAAACTATTCAGTAACATGCAAGTGATTGAAATGGTCTATTATTTCCATATACATTAATGCAATTACACTGTTGCTCTTTTGTAATAAAATAATACAGCAAAGAAAATTTAACAGGCTACCCCCGCAATGATAAAATCTTCATGTTACCAAGCATTCTGCTTTGCCTTTAATTGCAATCTCATAAACAGTACTCTGACCAAAATCAGGTGGTTAATGTTACTCTACCTTCATCAAGGCAAATGATTTGAATGTATAATCAAAGCTAAATTCTTCAGACAATGCATTGTAATCAGAAAATGTCATTTGTTCAAATCAGCCAACCTGAGAGTATGCTGTAACTTAGTTGGTGGTACTCTCATCACTGAGTCACAAATCCCACTCCAGGATTTGAGCACAGAAATTAAGAACGGTATCCCCAGTGCAGAACTGAGGAGGTGCTGCAGGTGCCATGTTTCAGATAAGACATTAAACCAAAGTCCTATGTGCCCTCAGAGATGGATGGAAAAGATCGCATGACACTATTTTGAAGAGAGTTATCCCCCATGGCCTGGGCAATATTTATCACTCAACCAACTACATATAAAGCAGGCAATATGATCATTCTCACATTTCTGTTTGTGGGAGTTTGCTGCATGCAAATTGATTCTCATGTTTCCTACGTTACAAAAGCAAGTACACTCTGAAAAGACTTCATTGTCTATAAACTGCTTTGAGATGGCCGGTGGTCATAAAAAGTACAACGAAAATGTAAGTCTTTCATTTCAGTTTTACATTACATTCCATCCAAGCATATTTTGCTCACAATACAATTTGACCTTGTAGCTAAAGCTATTCAATATTCAAAACACACAAAATTACATGTGAAAAGTATTAAACCAACAGCTTCTGTACTCTTTAGCTTCAAATGAATGTCATTGACTGCATTTTTAATAATAATAAGTAGTTGAACATAAGTAGTTAATTAAGATAAGTAGTGAGTATATTAAAATTATTAAAATCTTTTGAGGAGCTAACAATCAGTATAGATAAAGGAGAAACTGCGAATGAAATAGATTTGGGTTTCCAGAAAACGTTTGATAAAGCACCAGTATGCTAGTTAATGAGTTAAGAGCCCATGGTGTTAGTAGTAGTATATTAGCACGGATAGAGAATTGGCTAACTAGTAGAAGACAGAGAGTTGAGGTAAGAGGGCAGTTTCAGGATGACAACCTGTAATTTGTTGAGTGTCACAGGGATCAGTGCTGGGCCATTAGTATTTAGAATATATATTAATGATCTGGATGAGGAAAGAGAATGGACAGTGGTTAAGTTGGCGAATGACACAAAAATAAGTGGAAAGCAAGTGGTGACAATCATTCAAAGAGTTTGCAGAGGGATATAAGCAGGTTAAGTAATTCAGCAAAAACCTGGCAGATGGAATATAATATGGGGAACATGTTATGTTATGCACTTTTATAGGAAGAATAGAGGAGCTGAATATTACTTAAATGGAGAAAGACTGCAGAAAGCTTGGGCACAGAGGAACTTCAAAGGCTTTGTGCATTAATCACAAAAAGCTAGCATGCAAGTTCAACAGGTAATAGGAAAGGCAAATGCCTTTGCTTCTAAAGGAACGGAGTATAAAATAGGGAAGTCTTGCTAAAACTATACAAGGCACTGGTTAGAGTACACATGGAAAACTGTGAACTGTCTTGGTCCTTTTATCTAAGGAAAGATATACCAGTATTGGAGGCAGTCCAAAGAAAGTTTACTAGGTTGATTCCAGGTTTGAAGGGACTGCCTAATGAGCACAGGTTGAGTAGGTTGGGCCTGTAATGGAGTTTCAAAGAATGACAGGCAACCTTTTTGAAACACATAAGATTGTTATAGGACTTGACAGGGTAGATGCAGAGATCTTGTTTCCCCATGTGGCACAGTCTAGTACCAGAGGACATAATCTCAAAGTAAGGGTTACCCATTTAACACAAAGATGAGGTGGAATTTATTGTGAACATTGTGAATGTGCGGAAATTTTTACCACAGAGGACTGTAAAGGTTGTGTCATTAAGTACATTGAAGGTTGAGATAGATTTTTAACGTAACAGAATCAAGGATTATAGGGAAGAGACAGGCATTGAGGATTATCAGATCAGCCAAGATCTCATTAAACGGAGAAGCAGACTCAATGGGCTGAGTAGCTTACTTGTGCTCTTATGGTGACAATAACATTTTTTTAAACTGCAAACACTGCAGGAAAAGGGGGTCAGTTACTGAAACAGAGTAGGAAGATGACTGACAGCGTGCTTGAAACTGAATCACTTGCAACTGATCTAACTTACATCTTACAATAATTAGCACTATTGGCTAAGAGAAAAACAAAGCTTCTCAACCACACTAAAAACAAAGGTAAACAAAAACTGTGATGTATGATCATTTTTCTCCTTAACCTCTTCGGTTTTTTTAAATTATACTATTGCAATAGTCACACAACTTTTTAACCTAGAAACTTCTGTGTACATCTTCAGAGATTCAAGAAAGACAGTGCTCTCCATTAACATGCATCCTTTGGCCTATATACAATTTAGATTTCACAGTCAGCGGTAAAGTCTCACCGTTGATTGTGACAGACATTTCCCACAAAGATCCAGCAATTTTTGTGGGATGGATTTTCCTTCTTGTGATTTTACTTCCAATTTGATGCCAAGTCAAGAGAATCTCCAGGTGTTCATCAAGCAGGATAAGCAGCGAAGCACACTGAAGCAATCAGGAAGTAAAATGAAATTCAATTTTATGAATGTGTATAAAACAAATCTTACAATTTTCATTAAATTTCAGAGAGGTAATTAAGTCATTTGGACATGTACATGGGAATAAAATAAATTGAATACCAATCTTTTCTGAAAAATGTTCTTCCTGTTTAATCGCAGTAAATCTTGTTGGGAATGTCCTTGTAGAACACGGAGAGAATAGGGACAAATTTGAGTCAAAATTTGCAGCCACTGATAGAGGTGCCAAACAATAACTGACATCAGGAAAAAGTGAATGACCTGAAGGAGAAAATAGTGGGAAAAGTGCTTTACAGAGACTCAGGAAGGGCAAGGAAAAGTTAGTTCTCAAATGTTATTGAACAACTTAATGTTACTCAGATTTCAAACATATCATAACAATACTGGAGATAGTAGGAACTGCAGATGCTGGAGAATCTGAGATAACAAGGTGTAGAGCTGGATGAACACAGCAGGCCAAGGAGCATCATAGGAGCAGGAAGGCTGACGTTTCGGGCCTAGACCCTTCATCAGAAATGGGGGAGGGGAAGGGGGTTCTGAAATAAATAGGGAG